CCGGGAATATTATGAACGAGAGCATCGACGCCGAGATCGTTCCTGAGACGCGATTACCAAAAATGGACATTCCATTCACCATGGAAGAACCGGAAGGTGCGTTAGTCGCTTCTAAGCGCATGTCATCGCCAGGTCCTGATGGTATTACTTATAGTGCGTTGGGACACCTTGGACAAAAAGCCAGGAAAGAACTTTTAACATGCTTCAACAACTCCTGGCTCAGCGGCAGTGTTCCCCAAGAATGGAAAATAAGTTAATTAATACCACTTTTGAAATCGGGAAAATCACCATTGGACTTGACAGCGTATCGCCCTATTGCCCTCGCAAGCTGCCTCGGAAAAATAATGGTTCTATTTCGTCTCGAGTGGTACTTGGAACGATATACCAAATACCTTGCATGGAAGGCTTTCGTCGGAACCGCTCCTCCATCAACTGTGTCCTTGACTTATCGACATTTGTTCAGCAAGAAAAAAGTCGCAAGCGCATATCAGTGGCACTCTTTCTTGACGTGAGGGGTGCATATAATAATGTAGCTCACGATGCCATCCTCACTTCTCTCGCAGCAATGGGCATTGGTGGACGAATGTTTCAATGGATAAAAGATTATATAACTGGCAGGGGTTTCTTTGTGCAAACAGATGAGGGTACAACTGCTGAACATTACACCTACTGCAGAGTACCTCTGGGAGGTGTTTTAAGCCCAACATTGTTCAATGTTTCCCTCAATGGTCTGGTGAAGGTTCTGCCAAAGTTGGTGTACCTATCGATATACGCCGATAATATTTGCCTCTGGAGTGCTGCAGTTACTCGCCCTCAGGTGCGTGCACGAATACAGCGGGCAGCAACCCTCACAACAGCCTACCTTCAGAAACAAGGCCTAACTATATCAACTGTGAAGTGCGCGTTGATGGCGTTTACACGCAAACCAATGACGCCATACCCTGTTTACATCAATGGGCAGAGTGTCAAATATGCACAGACACATCGTTTCCTGGGCATAATAATCGACAGAAGTCTTTCGTGGAGCCCGCATTGTGCGTACTTGAAGAAGAGACTGCTATCTATTGTGCATATAATGAAATTGATGTGCGGGAAAGCATGGGGAACTTCTGTGGCCTCCATGCTACAGCTGTACAGGGCCCTATTTCTGGGTCTATTGCGCTACAGCTTGCCGGTACTCACTAACACTTGCAAATCCAATTCTCATTCATTGGAGAGTTTGCAGGGTCAGGCACTGCGTATCTGCCTAGAACTGCCCCGATGCGCTTCTACTTATGCCACAATCATGCTTGCCAAAGACCATCCGGTCAGGACATATAGAGTTGTGGATTGCCTCAGAGCGCACATTCGACATGCTAGCCGTGTCCCCGACCACCACTTGGCCCTTCTGCCCTCCGGAAGACCACGTGCTACGCTTTCAGACGTCATAGCCAAGCACCTAAACAGCATTCCATCAGGATATACGCCAGCTACGAGAATGGCATGTCCTTTGTGGTGCCTCGACCAGCCGCAAGCACGTCTAGAAATTCCGGGTATCAAAAAGAAAAGCAATCACTCCAGAGTAGCATTGAAGCAAACAACACTGCTATTATTACATAAGTTGTACTTGGGCCGAACGCAGATATACACTGATGGGTCCGTCTTGTCCAGCAGCTCATCAGGTGCCGCTGTAATTCCGGCTGCAGCAATGACTATCAAATTTAAGTTGTCGCATATGACTACATCTACGGCATCAGAGCTTGCTGCTATAAGAGCTGCTTTACAATATCTCGTTCAAGAACGTCCAGGAAAATGGGTCATATTCTGTGATTCGAAGGCAGCGCTTCAGAGTTTGCAGTCTGCCATGCGTAGGAGGAGTCATGAACAATTGGTACAAAAAATAAGACATTGCCATCATGAAGCTCTAGCACGAGGGCATGATATTATATATCAATGGCTGCCTGGACATATCGGTATTACCGGAAATCAATTAGCCGATGATGCAGCCCGCTCAGCCCATGAAGGAACCCGTGTAGTCCCGATTCCTCTATCAAGGAATGATGCAGCAAGACAACTTTACCTGCTGGCTCGAGATCTTAGACGCACGTTCTGGTCCTCTGCCAGCTTCCAAAGGTGTCAATTTTATGAACTGGATCCTTCACTCAAGATAAAGCTACCATCACAACTTTCCCGGTCCGATGCGACACTGTTATGCCGCCTTTGGTTGGGTGTTGCATTCACAAAGGTGTACTCCTTTCGCATTGGTATGGCAGACACTTCTACATGCGACTACTGCGGAGCTGAAGAGACCATCGAACACGTCCTGTGCAGTTGCGCTTGCTACGACACACAGCGATGCCAGCTCCGGATGGTTTTTAATCAACTTACCTTGGGCATCTGCCTCAGTTGCGCAGAAAGCAACTAAAGCACTGCTACTTTACCTAAAGTCAACAAACCTGAGCGACCGCCTGTAGACTGTGTGTGCTCCCCGAGTGTGCTCGTGATTGTGTGTGTACCTTCTCATCTCTCTGCAACCTCTTTTCTCCCCTTCATCCCTTCCCCAGTGCAGGGTAGCAAACCGGATGTGCGTCTGGTTAAGCTCCCTGCCTTTCCTTGCATCTTTATCTCTCTCTCTCTCATCAAACATGTGGCCTTCACGTCGGCATCCGAGCACCCCAAAACTGCTACATCACTAAAGCTTACACAATTAAATTTCTGGAAAGTGTGCTTATAAAGTCGCAGTGCTCATCTATCTGCTTATCCTCATTTTATGAAAAAATAAAACTTGGTATGCCTCAATAAGTGTATTGTAGCCACTATACTGTACGTGCATTGTAGTCGCTATCTTGTAAATGTATGTAACCACTGTTTTGTATGTAGCCACTATTATGTTAACCCCACCCCTTATGTAATACCTCCCTGCGAGGTCTTTAAGGAAAATAAAGTGAAGTGAAGACAGCGTTATACGTTGATCCAAAATTTGTGTGTGATGGTGCAACATACCATCTTTGTATGTTGCACAATCATGTTCAAATAAAGCACAGGTGTTGTAAATTGTAGGTTGAAAGATTCTTGCTTCTACATCCTGCTCTTTTCATTACATATCAGTTTAAGCCACTTGTGTATGAGGCACTGATAATACTATTAAATAGTGACAGCCACAGGCAGCCAGATGATGCCTTTAACTTTGAACACCAATTCTGCTTGCTAGCACTGCCTGCAACACACTTGCAACTTCATTCCGATTTTCGCTGTCTAGGTGTACACAGAAGTAAAAAGTTGGAGGCAGAGTTTATGCATAGAAAGGATCATGCTTAGGGGTAGGCGGATATTTGAAAATTTTGAATAGCGGATCTAATAGAGTTCTATTGGAAATACAGAATATCTTTAAAATAATTTTTGAATAATTGGTATTAATAGGAAGACTCCAAAACAAAATTAAAGAAGCAAGGCATCATTATTGTTTTAATAATTGAATTACTAAGGTACGTACAACTCAAGCTTTTGAGAGTTCAGGACATATAGAGTTGTGGATTGCCTCCGAGCGCACATTCGACATGCTAGCCGTGTCCCCGACCACCACTTGGCCCTTCTACCCTCCGGAAGACCACGTGCTAAGTTTTCAGACCTAAAAAACCTAAAAAAGCATTCCATCAGGATTGATGCTATACTGCACACAGAATGAAGGTGTTCTTGCTAGTAAGTGCTAAGTGTAGTGGCACTAAAGCAACTGTCTGATCCACTATCATCACCACGAGATTCATCGAGATGTCGATCCACGAAACATGGTTTCGTTGTAACGTCTTGGTTTTTTTTTTAAAGGTGGTGGCGACTTATGGCCTTGACTAATGAACTGCTGTTGTTCATTCTGGTTACTAAATATATCAAAAGATGCAGTCTGTGATGTAATAGAGTACCTCAGTTTATATAATTGTTTTTAAAGTTGGTGAATAGTTATTTTAAATGAATCGCTCTAAAAATCTAGGGCTGTTGTAGTAATGGTTCCGAGACTGAATAATATTCGATCGGATTCTAAATTGCACAATTTTAACACTCCTGATCATGCTAGTTGCTAACTTTTAACTCCAGTGTGCAAGACTCTAGAAGGGCCTTTTTACATGGTTCTGAATACATTTTCTAGCTGCTCCACAGTATCCTATATGCAAGTCCAGGGCAAAGTTTCATATGTACAGCTAATATACAACTGCTACGCTTCCCATCAAAATCAAATTTAGCATGAACATTTTAGAGTATAGGCAACAAAAATTGGATGGCACCAAAGAGCCACTCACATTGATTCTTCACTTGCAGCGCTCAAGTATGCGATATAGTCAGACTGTATTCAGCGTTTCACTACAGAGCAGCATGATGTTGCAGCATGCATACGAAAAGCTCTTATGGGTTCCTTTAAATGATGTGAAGCCGGCAACATGCATCATAGTACATACTAAATAAAATCTTTGAAATCTTTTGGAGCCAAAAAATTTTTTTTGATGTCCTCAGTGTCCACTTAAATCAATTTTAAAGTTGTCATTTCCAAGACAACTGTGCATTCAATATCTTCATCAACATCCCACCCAAAAGCTTTGCTCATATCTCCAAATACAGCAGTTTTAATGCATTATCTTAACATGTGCAGATGTGCTATTCGAAGACTGGGAAGGTGAATCAAATATTCCAGCCTCTGAAAGTGCAATACAATCTCTATTAAATCTAGTTCAGCTACAAGTCTGGCCAATTCAAATAGAAACTGGATTAAGTGAAGAATAGCTCAGATGCCTACAAATAACTAAGCAGGGATGCCACTTTTCAATTTAAGAACCCTGCATGAAAATTGTCAAATTAGAAGTTGCAGAGGCAACATCTTTAACTTAAAAAAATTTACAGCACAGTGGCCTACTTCATTTTAAAACTATGCCACAGAGTGGGGTTTGGACACTAAACAACGTGTAAAGAATAAATTTGTCCCGATTCCTCCAAACGTGAGGACTGCTATTGACACCTTCAGAGAGAGCCAAAGGTTGTGTAGCGATTAAAAATGTTTTATTGTACAAACACACAAGAAATAAAACAGTCAAATGAAAACAAGCATCTCTTGAAACATGTAAATGCACACACATGTGGTACTGAATTTTTATTGGCACTTTGGGGCTTGCACTAGAATTCAGACATTACCATCCAGGAAGGATTACTCGCAAGTGACAGCCAGAGTTGGTAAGAAAGCGAAGGAGCCACTTGGACAATCGGAAACTCAACTGATGCTGCAGAGTCCAGAGAAACTTTGCATAGAAAGTGGGCACATCTCCACACTGGAATGTCACAAATGTGTAAGCTGCGCGTGTTTTGGTGCACACACCCAAACACTGCCGACTTGGCCAGACTCCTGCCGTCTACGGAAAGGCAAAAAACTGGGCTGGTGCAAGATCGGCCACATGCGTGCTACACGTAATGCCACCAGAGACTGCAAGGAAGTCTCGGAACTACGCAAGTTACTTTGAGGAAGATACAACTTGGTAAAAAAAATGACTCCGTGCAGCCCTTCTCATAGAGATGAAACAAGTACCAAGCTTTAACAAGAAAAAATAGAAATGGAACAAGTACCAAACATCAGAATGAAAAATACATAGAAATGAAACAAGTATCAAGCTTCAGCAAAAAAATACACAGAAATGACAAGTATCAAGCTTCAGAAAGAAAAATACAAAGAAATGACACAAGTATCAAGCTTCAGAAAAAATACATAGAAATGAAACAAATCAAGCTTCAGAAAAAAAAAATACTTAGAAATGACAAGTATCAAGCTTCAGAAAAAAAATACATAAAAATGAAACAAGTATCAAGCTTCAGAAAAAAAATGCATAGAAATGGAACAAATATCAAGCTTCACAAAAAAATACATAGAAATGAAACAAGTATCATGCTTCAGAAAAAAAAAATAACCCCATGAAAAAGAAAAGTATCCAGATTAAATCAGACTCCTTAACCAAACGTTATATGAAGAGTCAAAAATGGCATGGTACAAGACTGTCGACAGCTCTGCTGATGCTTGACAACTGCCCTGTGGCCAGCCAACACCACTATAAATGGAATCCCTACTGCAGCAAAAGCTACCCGTGTTTAGTTCTAGAGTATTATTAACAAATCAATAGTACTGAGAGCCAATGGCATTTCAACAATGCTTCCAAATACATAAAAATGACAGGTATCAAGCTTCAGAATGAAAAATACAAAGAAATGACACAAGTATCAAGCTTCAGAAAATCAAATCACACCCACCAAATCAAGCTGGACAGTCAAACAATTCCTGCATGACCTAAGTTCCGCTGCATCAGTAGCTTGCTTTCAACATTCTTGTAACACGTCACAAAACAAACACAGCAAATATAATGCCCATCAAAAAAAAAACAATGCTAAGAGGGTGCATGAAACAAACAACCGTGCAGCCCAGCAGTGTAAATGGCTACATGCGCAAGCAAGCACCCTGCAACGCAGGCTTGCCACGGCTATTCAGCAGTGAACAGCAGGAGGACGACAGGCTTTCCTAGCAGTGCGTCATATGTATATACACAGGCAGATTCGGCTGAGATCAGGCAAACTGTCTAGGCAGGGCTGGCAAAAAAAAAAAAAAGTGGAGCACACTTATTGCACTGCTGGTGAGGAAGCCGTAGGGACAGCAAGTGTAGAACAAAGGGGACTGCATCACGACTGCCCTGCAATGGGCTCGAAAATATCCTTCTCTGTCCATTGCTGGACTGTGTGGGCTTCAGTGCACAGGTGCCAAGCCAGGGAAGTGAGCCACTGCCTTGGAATGATTTGAGGGAGGAAAGAAAACAATGCTGCCTCAATACGCAGGCAAATTGAGCGGAGGTGAATGATGTCACTAAAATTTGCACTTTTCACTTTAGCCGCCTCAAGAAATTTGGCAATTGGATGGTGCTCAACTGACGGGTTGCAAACTGACATGAAAACACACACACAAGCACACACAAACAAAAAAACGAAATACAGCACAGCAAAGGTAACAACTTGAGGGTGACTGCCCCTGAGTAAAATGTGTGCCACAAACAATTATTGTGCAGCGCAAAGATGCAGACACGTCCCAAATGGAAGCTAGAACAGCATTGCAAAACCTTACTTGCAACTGAGACACCCATGTTATGTCTATGAGAAACAGAACGCTTGTTGCTATGGTATGTCAAATACTGCAGTACAGTTCAGGTTATCACCCCCAAAGGATTATCGACAACACCTTTGTCAAACAATGCATGCAAGAACAATAATGAACTGAACAACGAATATAAAAAATATGTCGGACAACTGTCCGTAACGACTCACACGCAGAGTAATGAAAAAATTCAATGAAAGAACGCAACAGCAAAAAGTAAGCCGTGAGGTTTGACTAAGACACGGCAATGGTGTGGTGGGAAGTACAGTGGCATGTGTGAAATGCTGGACAACTGTACCAACAAGAAGAACGCAACAATGCTATGCAGCATGAGAAACGTGAGCAATGAGCCTTAAAAAACGACTTAGACAAATGAATGGCATTACATAAATACATTTCAAAAGACAAAAATCAAGCTGGACAGTCAAACAATTCCTGCATGACCAGCACTGCTGCCAAGTGGGGGAAAGCCAAGCTGTCACAGGGGACAGCATGATTAAAGGGCAAAGCCTAAGGCAAGCAAGTGCTTAAATGAAGATGCTAGTTCTTAAATATGTGCAGTGGGCATGAATGAGCGGGTGACATGGGACTGTTTGCCCTTAACCCCCGATGGCTGCCAACATGCAGCATGGTGGAAGATCAAATAAACAGCGCGCAGTGGCACCACAGCTCCTAATAGATTTAGTCACTTTGCTGGTGTACTTTGGGGCGGGAGGGGGGGGTCACACTTCATCCAGCACATTGGAGTAGTACACACACCAACTTCAGCACAACAGGGACCACTAGCAGTTGAGCGACAACTGTGGCCAGCCTCTGGCTCATTCGCAACCTAGCTTTGGCTCTAAGCAACCCACAAACTCTGGACAAAAAAAATAATTGTAGGAGCCGAGACAACAGCCAAGTTGCAAAAAGAGCCACAGCAAATGGCCTCCAGCATTATGAGACAAACCTAGTAAGCAGCACACTGGGCACATTTCTGGGCAACAACTAAGCCTTGGCATTGGGAACATCCTAGGCAACGCCCAAAACGAGGAGGTCGCAATTCATTCATTCACCGGCTACCTGGCACCAAGGATTGACAACCATGCTTTTTTTTACCAACACATACATGCATGCGAAAACGAAACTGCAAAACCAAAAACACATTCACACTTTGCTCGATCTTTGCACTGGGAAGCAACTTGGTTGCAGAGCTGTTGGAGAGATATTCTACATGGTGAAGCGCCAACACAGATGCACAAAAGACTGGAGAACCTCTTGTATTGCACAAAGAAGAAGAAGAAAGTCCGAATCGGTTCTGTTCAATCCCAGAATTCAATTTTGGTGGGCATAATATTGGCCCAAAGAAAAGTGACACACACAAAAGAGGACACTGGGTTTTCGCAGCTCCACAACCAAGCATTTTGTCAGCTTTGCAGAACTCTTGGCAGACTCCACAGTATTCGAAGGTGTCAGCGACACAATGAAGTCCCCGCCAAAGAAAAAAAAAAAGAATGAGAAAGGAGAACGATGTGGTGCCACTTCTGGTCGTCATCCTGGTAGGCAGCAAGAATGCATGCTCATCCAGGGCTCTGTCCACCTTCAGCTGCATCGCCTCGGCAGATCGGGCATGTGCGGTTATTCTGGAAAAAATGATGCAGCCAACTGTAAAGCTGAAAAATCCTTACATCTTGGATACTTGTTTAGCAACATTTCGTTGTCCAGTGATGTAAGATGCATTGAATCCTACGGACACTCATCGAAGATTATAATATATTTAATTGTCAAGAATTTCACTTTTATACTATATTGTTATTGCAGGTTTCAACTAATTCTTCAATTGATCAAGTGCATGCTCTAAACGACTATTACACTAACCACTTTATTGTTGAACAAAAGCTAATCAATCCTGCAGAACACAAATGCAGTTCAAGTTTTTTACTTTCACCAGCACAATTGCCATCGCATGCAGTAACTAGTGCACAATTTGAAAAAAAAAAAAAAACAGAACTTGGAAGACTAAAAAATTTCGACAAGCTTTCTACAGAAACTGCTGCAAGAATGAACACTTGAGACAGCTCGCTTTCCATTAAGATGCAAAGAGAAGAATATCATGAGTTTAACATCCCAAAACCACAATACGATTATGAGGGACGTCGTAGTGGAGGGCTCCGACAATTTCGACCATCTAAAGTTCTTTAACGTGCACCATTATCGTGCAGTACACAGACCTGTCTCATTTAGTCATCACCAAAATGCGACCACCGCGACAGGTATCGAACCTGCGACCCTTTCGTCAGTAGCCGAGCACCATAACCGCTACACCACCGCATAGATGATGCAAAAAAAAAAAAAAAAGTGGTGAAGAAAGGTAGGTAGTCTCTTTTACCTACTGGCTACCAAATATAAATGCCGCAGGGCCCTCAGCACAAATTCTTTCTGCCATGTATGGGTGTTCGTAAGCTTCGGCTGCCGTGTTCATAATGTAATGCTCAACAGTTTACAAAGTGCTTAAAAAATGTAAACAAATGGGTTTTTATATACCAACCAGAAGAACATTGTCTAGTTCTAGTAATAAAGTAAATATTTGAATTCATTTTTGGTATCAAAAAGTGAGAAACATTAGGGATGTGAAGAGCAGCAGCACACTTTATATACACTTCAGCATTTCCTTTTTCCTATCAGCTTGGAAAGGCGCTTCAAGAAAGTTACCCCCCCAGCCTTTTTCTGCTGAAAAGAATCTTGAAAACTTCGACATCTGAAAGCTGTTGGTGGTACCTAATTTCTAAATACTGAGGACACCTAAACATCATGTTAAAAAATTTGAAGTACACAAAGATTTCTACATTTTGTGATCACTTGATCCACCTAAATTGCATGGTCACTGATGGTTACCACAATCCAGAAACAAAGGAAACTCTGTTCCAAATTATTTCCAATGCAGACTGCCACAGATGTCAAGAATGCTTATCTGTGCACACTTAAAAAGCACCAAAATCAATCACTGTTTAAATGAGTGGCCCTTAGTAAGCAAGCCTACACAATAAGACAATGGGAGCTCATGCATTTTAATATTACTGCAACACTTGTCAATAGATACCAACATCACAAAATACCATCCTGCTGTTGAGCGCAAGTATTGCCACATATTATATACGCCTACTGCGTCCCGACGGGAGAGGGGTGTAGATAGCACACTTACTACTCCTTACTCTCAGAAAAGTAAGCAGACAGCCTCTGTAGTTATCTATGTCATACGTATGTTTTCTATGTTTTTCGTGTTTCCACAGAGCAAAGTTCATAGTATGTGGTGGCGAAAACTTCAAGAGATGTCGATTAACAATTGTTGTGGATTAGGTTGCCTTAACACCTACAAAAACTCGCCACAGTGCGATTTTGCTTGTTTACCACAAGGCCTCATGAGCAAAAGCGACAGAAGCAATGGATTTGTTGGAAAAGGCAAGCCGCTCAGTCATTGTGTGTGTTGATGCGTTCATTGCTCCTTCTTATGCTTTTGCTCTGCCATATGGGTGCTCATTGAAGCACTGATGCTTCATCAAACCTGGTGCTACCAGGTTTGATAATCAGTCATTACATTCCTATTTTCAGTGGCGCTTTCGTAATGTCACAGGGCGAACTTTGTGGGGGTGCTAACAACCCCTGTAAAGTAGTTTCCACCTCGTGGCAGATGTCTGGCCGCATTCAGGGGTCACAACTATTGAACGATAGGTGGCGTTGTGCTCGCTAGTGTTTATTACCACCATCATCATCATAGTTAAACGATTGATAGATATGTGGGGTTTAACATCCCAAAGCCACCATACGATTATGAGAGACGCCATAGTGGAGGGCTCCGGAAATTTTGACCACCTCGGTTTCTGTAACGTGCACCCACATCCGAGCACACGGGCGTATAGCATTATCACCTCCACCGAAAATGCAGCCGTCGTAGCCGGGATTCGATCTTGCGACTTGCAGGTCAGCAGCCGAGTACCTTAGCCACTAGACCACCGCGGCGGGAATCATGGTTAGAACGGTAGTGTCGGCAATGATGCCAGGCGGCAAAGCCTAGGTGGCGGCACATGAAAGACGAGCGGCTTTTTGGTGCGTCGCAGTTGGCGCGAACGGTTGTCTTTTTCCTAGCACTGGGTCCGTGGTGCACGGCACCTCAGGTCGACTGCCATGGGCCCTCGTGTTGAGTCAAGCATTGACGACGGCACCTTGTGTGTGTTCTTGTGTTTGTTATGTTATTGAGTGTTGTGTAATTTTGTGTAAGGTTGTTTAAGCATGTTGATCACAATTGATGTGTATTAATTTGGCTGATGATATCGTCGATTTCATCATCATCAGCCTGACTACGTCCACTGCAGGACAAAGGCCTCTCCCATGTTCCGCCAGTTAACCCGGTCCTGTGCTTGCTGCTGCCAATTTATACCCGCAAGCTTCTTAATCTCATCTGCCCACCTAACCTTCTGTCTCCCCCTAACCCGCTTTCCTTCTCTGGGAATCCAGTTAGTTACCCTTAACGACCAGCGGTTATCATGTCTACGTGCTACATGCCCAGCCCATGTCCATTTTTTCTTCTTAATTTCAGCTATGATATCCTTAACCCCCGTTTGTCCCCTAATCCACTCTGCTCTTTTCTTGTCTCTTAAGGTTACACCTACCATTTTTCTTTCCATTGCTCGCTGCATCGTCCTCAATTTAAGCTGAACCCTCTTTGCAAGTCTCCAGGTTTCTGCTCCGTAGCCAAGTACCGGCAAGATACAGCTGCTATATACCTTCCTTTTGAGGGATACTAGTGGTAATCTACCTGTCATGATTTGAGGGTTCTTGCCAATTGTGCCCCACCCCATTCTTTTCTTCTAGTTACTTCAGTCTCGTGATTCGGCTCCGCGGTTATTACCTGTCCTAAGTAGACAGTGTTTTACAACTTCAAGTGCACTATTACCTATCTCGAAGCCCTGTTCTCTTCCGAGGTTGTTGTACATTATTACTTTCATTTTCTGCGGGTTAATTTTAAGACCTCCTTTTTTGCTCTCGTTGTCCAACTCCGTAATCAGTCGATTACGTAGTCCATTTAAAAGCTTTTAAATGTGTATTGTTTGGCTTATTTCGACCGCGTCTATCGTGTCCATGTTCCGAGAGAGTAGCGTTCCATTGCGAGGCCCCACAACCTTTCAATAAGAATATCTGCTCATGCCAGAGGGATCTGGTAGAGTAAATAACCGCGACTGTGTATGCATGTGCGTTAGTATAATGCTCAAAAAACCCTTACTTGAGAGTCTCCGCTGTATGCGTGTTTCTTTGCCGTCCAAGTTGCATTTCACACTACACAAGTCAATTTAAGACTAAACAATGCCGCCTAATTTTGGCATGTCATTTTAAATGGTTTTCATTGACACAAATTATATTAATACGGGTCTCCTTAGCTCTTATTGTCAAGTTTGCATTTATTTGTCCCACAAAAGATGAGCTGGTATTGTCTACATGAATAGTAAACTTTGCGTTGTTATGAATGCTTCGATCCCACCAATGCAAATTTAAAAGGTAAGAGTTACCAAAATGCTTCCTAGGGGCCTGCCACAGAAAGCTGATCAGCTTGTTCCCTCTGGTTCCTCGCAACAATTCAGCATTGTAAGTAGAACGAGTACAGAAAACATTTACTTCTCCATTAGCTTAAATTTTCGCTTTCTAAACTACAGTATTTACTCGCACATTCCTCGCACTTTTTTTGCCGGAAAACTGATGCAAAGTTGGGGGGTGCGAGAATTGCGCGTGGAAAACTTTCCACGAAAACGTACAGAGCGAAAAAAAAAAAACGAAGTGGCCGCAAATCTGGATTCTTACACCAGCAACTTACAGCAAGCTTTATGAAGTACTAATTAGATCTTACCTCAACAATAAAAGCAGAGGTTCAACACAAGGCAAGATTTATTTGAGACACAAAAAGTGCAAGCAAATAGTCGAGAATCAGAATACCATACGCAAAGCTTGCGGACGTTGCAGGCGTAACGGCAGTGCTCGTCGCTCAACAGGAGCCCTCAAAAGGTAAGCGTAGACTGTCAGTATTGGGCTGATGGCTATTTAACAGAATCGTACGCAGTTTCCTTCTGAGGAAATAAAGTTTACTATCAATCCCAGTTTTAGGCCCACGGCAGGCCCAACGCGTCTTCGTGGCTTTCAGCTGCCGTCACCAGTAGCGAACACTAAACTCGTAGAATCCGAAGGGCCTACCGGCGGCCCTGTTGCAGTCGTTTAGTGCATGATCTATCACTTGCAACATGAAGCAGCTGTGTAGCTTCAGTATCACACCATAACGTGCCAAGATTATCGACAGAGCATACAAAACACGCCGCAACGCGCACTGGCCGCTTCGGCTTGGCTTGCATTAGATTAAATCTGTGTGCAATAGTACACTTGATGCTTAAGAGATGGCGCCAAATGGCACGTTCTATCATCATCATTGGCTAGAACGAGCAGATGACATTATTGCAGCAGTTTTCAGGATTGCCATAATTGCTCGATTTTCTTGAGCAATGTGGGGGGTGCGAGGATTACGCGAGTAAGTACGGTAATCATGTTGACAAAGTGAAGTGTTTTGGAGAAGTATTTAGAATAAACCTTCTGCTAATTTTAACTGTAAGATTTTGCTAATACAGTAAAATAATAGTTAATACGACACCCTTTTTTTGGGAAATTGGGTAATTCGGACGTGTTCTCTGGCCCGGCCAGCGAATGTATTGCTTAATGGCACTAAAACTGATTTAGTGGAACTTGGCCACAATCCGATTAATTCAGACATTTCTCTGAGCGCCGAGAGTGAAGCTTTGCTAATTTGTGCCGCAAATGTATAGAACACAACATTCGCGGCCAGCCGGAATCGGTGTGGGCTTTAAGACAGCCATGATCATCGCCCCACAATCGCGTAGTTGGTACATAAAAAGGTATTGGTCCAGGGGACACGTCTAATAGGGACACAGAGATCTTGAGCCGCAATTACATTGTGAATGAAGTTGCAAGCGATGAAAATTTTGGCTTTGGCAGTGTTCTTACGCAAAAAGGCCACTTCCACACTAGTGGTGCCTGGCCAGTAAAAAGTTCTAATATAGGCAGCCTTCTTTGTCCCTTTCATCCTCTCCCTCTTTCTTTTTTCCATGTTTTCTGCCTTTTATTTTTATTTACTTCTTCCTCTATTTCTCTTTCTTGTTCTTTCTATTTTCCTTTTCTATGTCATGCTTGCTTCCTCTTCTATGTTTTTACACTTAGTTTTGTCTCAGGTACTTGGGGAGAAGGTCGCAAGAAATGAGTGAAGCAAGCGTAAGCAAGTCAAGCAAAGCAAACGTAAAGCACCCCTCCAAGATCTTTGCGAAATGTTGAAATTTAAGACGCCCTACTTTACGTTTTTGTTGAATGTCGTGCAGCAGCGCTGTAAATATTTACGCTTAAAGTCAAATTTCTTCTACTCTACTTCACATTTCAAGTTAGTTTTTAGTTAGTGTAAACTGAAGCCAGCTTTGAGAAACAAAAACAAAAGGAATACAGCTATAAGAAGTTATGTTGGGGGCAGCCAATAAATGTGCTAGATAAATGAATATTTTGTGATGACCCTCTATACAATGGCAACATAGATATAGCAATGCACCCTGTCAACATGTACTGCACCCACCTTGAGCCACTTGTCAACGCAGCGGGCGTGAAATTCGTGCCCACAAGGAAGCACACGCAGGACTTGTCGGGCCTCAAAGTCGCACATGCATACCACACATGATGTCTGCTCAGATTCGTGTGTCTCGGGGTTAAAGCGGTACGACAGCAGCTGCTCAATCTCTGCAAAGAGAATACAACAGTCCATTACTAATCAGATGAACAAGACACTTATTGAAGGTTGTAAAGGATGCGCCACATTACAACAGCAAAACACCACTAAACCTGAATAACAAATGCACTATTCGCATGGAATTCAAAGCTGTATGGCTATTTGCCCATATCTTCATTACAATACCTCTTCCAACCCAACAACTACCTTACACTGCACATTATCCCTAATATCCCATGAGAGTTGAGTCAACAAAAAAGCCACAGTTCAGTACGTACCTGCTCTTGGCAAACCACGTGGCTTTGCCTCTCCCAGCCTCTCAGCCAAGCTCAACAGGGCTTCATAGTTCTCAGCTGCTGGTGATTCTGCAGTTGCCATTTCAGGCGCATATGCTGGCACTGGGTTGTTGGACAGCATGGCACTAGAACCATCATAAGGCCACCAGCTGCATCAGTGAACATGCACCTAACAGTATCAGCACAGTTGGGAATGTCTCCAGGACATGTGCACAAAGCACACTTGTAACACAAGGTGCACTAAGAAGTCATGGCCAGAACAAAAGCAGTTGCATAATATGCATGTGCACAAAAAGTGCAGATGGACACATGCTCCCCATCCCTCAACCTTAGCATGATCTACACTAATATCTGCGGGCAGTGTCACACACTGCTTTCACAAGCAGGTAAACAAGCAGTAAGCAATGGCAAGTTCATAAAAAATCGCTTGGTAAGCAGTCCATTGTCAAGTAAAAACCACATACACTACATTTGTTCATAGAATGTCAAATTGCAAAAAAAACTACTTTGAATTGAGCATGAATTGATGGAAAGGTTTTTTGTCTGTAACCAAAACGATATATTGCATACAGTTTAACCTCGTAATGAACACTGATGTAACAAATTATCAGTTTTAGCAAACTAAATATAAACTTTTGTTCCACATGCTCCCTTTGGATGACATTCTTTCAACAATGCCTTGAAAAGGCATCAGAGGAAGATTGCATCCTTTAAATATATATGAAAGTACAGACCCATTTCATTTTGTTGTATTGTAATGTCACTTTCTGATGTTCTTGTTCATTTTAGTTTGAAATGTCACAAGGGACTACCTTATTTATAGTGAGTTTGAAACCCAGAATAATACATTTTTGTATTTAGGATTTTGCAATAGCCAGGTTGCTGATTTTCATAACCAATGATTATCTCTAGTGTTGCATTGAATATCAGACAATCTAATTTGTGGTCCTAATGGTCCCTCCTTCATTATAACGATGTTCAACTATGTATACTGCATAGAGATAAGAAAGCTCAATGTTTAATATAATAACTCACCCATAATAGCACTTACCATCATTTCGTATTCCTAAAAAGCATCACTACTGCGAAGTACTCGCCGACGTGACTTTCCTAGGGGTGCACAAATATTTTCTTTTTTGTTGACAGGTGAGAATTCAAAGCAGCAGTACTGCCCTTTACGCCTTTTTTTTTGCAGGTTTCAGGTGTTTGAATTGATGAACATTTTTTTCTTATTAACACTTGCAACTTTACCGGAGTAAATCAAGGCGTTATTATAATCCATGCATTCAAAATTTAGTAACTAGCATTTTACTGTAAATGGTCACCGTCTTCAGCTTTTGTCGAGACCTCCAATACATACTTGCAAATACCGTATTTACTCGTATAATCCTCGCACTTTTTTTGCCGGAAAACCGATGAAAAGTTGGGGGGTGCGAGAATTACGCGAGGAAAACTTTCTACAAATACGTTTAGAGCGAAAAAGAAAATGAAGTGGCCGCAAATCGGGATTCTCACACCAGCAACTAACAGCAAGCTTTAAGAAGTACTAATTAAAACTTATCTCAACAATAAAAGCAGAGATTCAACACAAGACAAAATTTATTGGAGACACAAAAAGTGGAAGCAAATAGTCGAGAATCAGAATACCATACGCAAAGCTTGCGGACGTTGCAGGCGTAACGGTAGTGCTCGTCGCTCAACAGGAGCCCTCAAAAGGTAAGCGTAGGCTGTCAGTATTGGGCTGATGGCTATTTAACAGAATCGTACGCAGTTTCCTTCTGAGGAAATAAAGTTTGCCATCAATTCCAGTTTTAGGCCCACGACAGGCCCAACGCGTCTTGGTGGCTTTCAGCTGCCGTCACAAGTAGCGAACACAAAACTTGTGTGCTCCGAAAGGCCTGCTGGCGGCCCTGTTGCCGTTGTTTAGTGCATGATCAATCACTTTCAACATGACAGCAGCCCTGTAGCTTCAGTATCGCCCTACAACGTGGCAAGATTACCGACACAGCATACAAAACGCCGCAACGCGCACTGGCCACTTCGGCTTGGCTTGGATTGGATTGAATCTGCGTGCCATAGTACGCTTGATGCTTAAGAGATGGCGCACGCTATCATTATCAGTGGCTGAAAAGAGCAGACAACATTTTTGCGGCAGTTTTCGGGGGTGCGATAATTACTCGAGGAAAACAAGAAATCGTATTTTTCTTGGGCGATGTGGGGGGTGCGAGAATTATGCGAGTCGAGGATTACGTGAGTAAATACTGTACAGCTTAGGACACCTTTATGAAAACAAAAAAGTTTGATGACATGACATACTTGGATTACTGAAATAACTGTCAGGAGTACACATCTGTCAAAATTTTCTGTGCAGCTGGATCGCCTTTTGGCATAAAACAAACATTGGGTAATGACACTTTCTAGATTAATTAAATACTTGATTTGGTGTCCTTTGGATACAATTTTTAGATTTCTGTGAATATCCGAATGGTTCCAATATTCGAACAAACAAGTAGAGTACTCAAATTCGCTTCAATTTGAATCAACTCATGGAAAATTTAGAAGTATTCGAGATGAACGAATAGGTGTGTATTAATCCGCATGTAACCACTTGTGAAGGTGGTTTCAATGCGGTGTAAGGGTGCTAAGCAGTGAACGAATTTTTACATGAGAAATCCACCCTGCCGGAAAGCCCCCTTCAAGTTTAAAGGGGCCACCTGCAACACTTTTTGAGCATGGTCAGAAAACGCTGCCCTACGGCAGTTGAGGCTACCGAGGAAACGAGAGCAAAACGTTATGGTGCAGCACGCGGCCTGCAATTCACAATAAATCTCAAAGTCAGCTAAATATAGCTTTCTCTTCTCTCGACAAATCACCGAAAATAAGCCCAGTAAGCTCATCTATCTGCCATTGGCCGATTTGAACATGGCCCGCTCAGCTGTTGCAGAGGTCCGTCCCCACGAGAGGCAGTCACTGGTCCACGAGTGCGCGCGCGATCACACTGAAAAAGCCGCATATTCGAAAAAAAAAATGCTCAAGGTCAAGAGCGACGTTTTTCGTTTGTCCCTCCCATCCCTCCCTGCTCAGCTTCCAGCGCTTTTGTCAGGAAGAGAGAATGCGATTGCAGCGTGTGACAAATCTTTGCGACTCCGCTCGTACTGGAGGAATTGAAATTTCTGCGGTGTTCAATTTGTGAGGTAATGCGCTTTTCCAGTTACTTTTCCATGGTTTCTCAAAAAAAGACATTTATTGCAGTAGCAATAACTGTAAAATTTCGACCAAGCAGGTAAATTTTAGGGTGCTTGCTAGGTGGAGACGTTTGCTCTGAATTTTATGGCGTATCGACACGTACTCCAGGCACATTTTTGCCATCGGTGTCGGGTTCCACGAGAACTATTGCTACTTGTTCTCCCAGCATGGAGAACAAAAAGTTGGCATATTATGCAGTTTATTTGGCAGTTGACTAGAATTAGCAACTTGGTTGCCTTTTTTTTTTTGGTATGTTGCAATGTTATTATAACAGAAGGGTACTATAGGAGGCAGAAAAAATTTTCACAGCTCTAAATACACTATTTTTTCGAGATTCATAATAAAAAAATTTGTATTACACTTCAATCCTAAAAATAATATCGCACAGTTGGCAACGAAGCCATTGCCTATATTCTTCTAGGTACCATTCCTAGATAGCACCATTCACACCAACAATCTGCTCATGCATTCAAATCAGTCACATGTTTGATCCAAAAGTGAAGATATCTCAGCAAGATGCAAGCTATACTTTCTCTGGCTGGATGGCTCAAAGACGATGAAATGAGAGTTGTAAGACCTTGAGGATATGTGCAAGGAAACAGTTTTCATATAAAAACTAACAACGTGAAAACCACACAAAGAAGAACTAGCACAACCAACAAAGCGCTGTTAAGATAGTTCTTCCTCCGCTATCTCTCAACATTTACCACGAACTTGCCCAAAGAAAGTTTAAGTTTTTATATAATTCACTATTTTAAAAATTTCATCGCATGTCACGAACAAAAAAAAGCCAACGACAAAATGCTTCCTGAAATAAGAGTAGACTTACAAAATTATGTTATCACTTAATTCTTTGGTTCACACAGCTGATTTGATGATTGATATGTGGGGTTTAACGTCTCACAACCATCATACGATCATGAGAGACACCGTAGTGGAGGGCTCCAAAAATTTCGACCACCTGGGGTTCATTAACGTGTACCCAAATCTGAGCACACGAGCCTACAACATTTCCGCCTCCATCGGAAATGCAGCCGCCGCAGCCGGGATTCGATCCCGCGAGCTGCGGGTCAGCAGCCGAGTACCTTAGCCACTAGACCACCGCGGCGGGGCTTGGTTCACACAGTCAACTCATGAACAATAATACAAGACTACTCTAATTGCTATTAAATCTGAATTAACACACCTTTAAAGCCAACTTCTACACAAAATTATTTAAAAAGCCAGACTAAAGTACATATGCCATGGTCGTGCTTATCTACTACTGCGGAGCTGTGGAACTAGGTGAACTCACAAGAAGTGCAGTAGGAAGCCTGGATGCGGTGGCGGCGGAGGAGGAGGAGGTGTAGCGGCAACCAGAGGAGCGCGCCAGCGGCGGCCAGAGGTACGTCGACCCTGAACCAAGCGCGGTGGATGCACCTATAAACGCAAAACACCGGGCATGGAAATGATTGTCCGAAAAAAACTGGGCACTGGAGGAGTTGCTAAGTTCTGCTGAATGAAGATGCCCATAAGAGCAACAGCAGGCATGTGACCCCCAACAAAAGATAACGAAAGAAAAATAATGAACGAAGAGGCCAATCTTCTGTAATAAAAAAATAGGGGGTGTTACTTATTTTGGTTTTTATTGTTTTTGTTTATTATATATCGCAGACTTTAGGTCCAAGAAAGTGGGCAGTTTCAGTAGGACATAGTTAAAATACAAAAAGTGGCATCACAAATTATTTGGGGTAGGTGCGTAATAGAGTTATAGCCAACAGAAAAACAGACACAGCAAACTACATCATAATTAATAATGTGAGTAATGACCTAATGAACAAAAAATGCATATCAATACTACATAATGTTTTATAATAACTGTAGGAATAAATACAACAATAAATACAAAACAACAACAACACGATCATTTTCACTGTTCAGGGCAAAGAAAAATAATACTAAATACATTAGCATAGAATAAAATGATAGATACAAAACGAAAAAGAACACTGCAATAAAAAGATATCAAACCTGAATTGGCGAGGCAATTCAATTTTGGCCCGAAGGAGGAATAGAGACTAAAAGGATGCCAGAATTATTTTGTTCCAATAAGAGATTGTGCATGGAAAGTATGAGCACTTAGAAGCATCTGTTCTGCATAAATAAGGTGTCATGATGATGCCTTGTGAATCTGGTTTATAAAGATGTCAGGTATGGAGATGGGTTGAGAAGAAGAGAAAGATCAATTCTTATCTGTTTTCGACACACGCTAAGAGGAGAAATGCTATTGGCTTTCACTGTACTAGAAGAACAGTCAACTCGACAGAGCTTGTTAAAAATGAACCGGACTGCTTTCGTCCACCTTTTGCAGGGATTTGATGTCAGTTTGAGTGTATTGATCCAATACTGCACTCGTGTATTCTAATTGAAATCTTAAAGAATAATAGGACAGTAATATAACATTGCTTGGGGCATCAAGATGCTTATGTTTTAGAAAGAGGAGCTTTCTGAATGCAGATGAGCAAATGATATTGCTTACAAGTTCAGACTGGTTGATTTCACAAGAGATCAACACGGGTACGAAAGATGATAATTTATATTTGAATGAGTATTTACTATTTTATGCACATACCATGCAGTAGCCGGAAAGTGGACTTTGTGTTTTATTGACTGCATAATTTAGGGGAAAAAAATTTCGAACCTAATCTTACAGAGAGACATAGTTTCATAGCATCTTGTCATTCTCGGAAGTTAACGACAATATAAAAACAAAAATAATGTTACAAAGACGATCTTTTTTAAAATAAATCTACACAAAATGAAGAGTGAAGCAGCATTGCTTGAAGCCTGTGGGCTGAAGCAAGCCGTTATTGGAAAAATTCTGAACAGGTGGCGTTTTTTTAAAGTTGTTATATTTATATTTAAAGTTGCTAATGCCAGGCCGCGCTGCTACCGCCGAAAAAAAAAAGAGAAAGAAAAGGGGGAAAAACTGATTAAACCATCCAGTGTTTCATAACTGTGACCTATTACAACACAATGTTTACAATATTGCCTGCCAATGCCGTTGCTGTACCTCAAATACATATTTCATTAAATGGCCTCAATCTTTCAAATTCGGAAACAGTTAAGCCTATTGCATAACTAATATTTTAAAGAACTCATCTTCGGTTGTTGTTGTTTTTTTCCATAAAAGACCCTCCCAGATCATATAAAAATATTATGAAGAGACATGTTGCATAATTTTATTTACAGCAAGAATACTACGGGTACGAGTCAGCTTTTCAAGGATGCACTAAGGCAATAAAGACATAACAAATCGGCCTAAATAAAGTGGGCTCCAGCTTATGGGTCCTTCGAACATGACCATATTTACGGGGGAAAAGCAGTTTCAGTGAACGAGAATGACTACTAAGCATACCCTTATAAAACACCTAAATTCACCCTTTGAAGTCGAGGCTTGAGATCCCTAACTTATTCCATCTTTGATCGATATGTTAGGTTTAACATCCCCAAACCACCATATGATTATGAGAGACATTGTAGTGGTGGGCTCCGAAAATTTTAACCACCTGGGGTTCTTTAACATGCACCCAAATATGAGCACACGTGCCTACAGCATTTTCGCCTCCACTGAAAATGCAGCCGCCGCAGCGGGGATTTGATCCCGCGACATCCGGGACATGTCTGGGACCTTGGTTACCGACATCCTCGCATGAGGCAGCTGTGACAGTCATCTGTTTTTAATGTATTAGTTCGGTACACTTAAATGGGAATAAGCTGCGAAAGGGACAACCGAAGCATAACGAATATACAAATTAAGTAACACTGCTTCTGCCGCCTTAAACAGGGGACTGTTTATCGGTTGCTTGCTCAACAATTTAATAATGCAAGCCCCCTCTTGGAGCCCCCTCCAACTTTTGATATCCAAGATTTCAATTGTAAGGAAACGGTAAAAATCTGCCATTTTAACGGGACATAGGTCAGTAAAAATAACAAAGCACACACCTCACTCTACCACTTAAGAATGGTAAGCTCGGGTCTAATTAAGCCGATATTTGAAATCGTGGCGCAAATGCCCATATGGCTGAAGAATGTCAAAATGCTCTATGCAAAGCAAATGACTTAAAAACAATTCATTATTTTAAGATTGCTTTAGTGCTTATTGTTACCAGGTGTTGCAGGCCTACGTTGTCAGTATCATTGGTTAACGATACAGATCATAGTCCTGTTTTGTTAGTGTCAACCCCTGCTGTAAGTGATCTAGAAGACATGCAGCGTTTTGAGCACAACATGGAAGAGGGCAGGGGGCCACTTCAAATGTTCATGTTCCTGTGCTGCTGTCTGAGCATTTTAATTAGTCGCTTTGTCTGCGAATATGTATGAATTGCCTGAGTGTGTGTCACTGTGTACTGTATTCAAAGCTGAGCGAAGCGCACCAGAAATGAGCCTTTACTTAAATGCATTCCTCAAAGTGCCCAAACTGCTTTTCCTCTGTAAATATGGTCACGTTCAAATTACTCAAAGCTTAAGCCCACTTTTTTTCAAGCCGATTTGCCATGTGTTTATTGTCTAAGTGCATCCTCGAAATGCTGAGACTCGTACCCGTAATATTCTTGCTACAAATAAAATATTGCAACATGTTGCTTTATATTATTTTTATGTGATCTTCGAGAGTCTTTTTGTGATATTTCATGAAAAATTGAAGGCTGTGTTTTCTAAATTATTTTTCAATATGCTTAACTGTCACCGAAGTTGAAAGTTTGAGACCATTTAGTAAAGTATGTATTTGAGATACAGCAACGGTATTGGCAGGCAATACTGTAAACATTATGTCGTAATAAGTAACAAAGTGTGCCTTAGGAGAAACAAATTTCAAATATAGCAACTATAAAAAAATGTTGCCTGTTCGGAAATGTTTCAAAAGCAGTTTGCTTCAGCCCACAAGCTTCAAGCAATGCTACTTCACTCGATTATGCGTACATTTGTTCGAAAAAAAGAAAAGATCGTCGTCGTAACATTAATATTTGTTTTTTTTTATTTTGTCGTTAACTTTCAAGAATGACAAGGGACGAAATTCGTCCCTCCGCACAGAATAAGTTCGATATTCTTTCCTCCTAAATTATGCAGTTAATGAAAAAACGAAGTTCACTTTCGGGCTACTTGGTGAAAGGTGCACAAAATATAGGATACTCAATCAAATCTAAAATATTAATTTTCGGATCTGTGTTAAATCTCTCGTGGATCACCCAACTCTGGTGATAAGGAGCGGCATCTCGGAAGCCTGCATAGCAAGATGATGCCTACAAGATCAAAGGTGACTATACCCCATCAGCGTTTTCATTTGACGCCACTCATTCACTCAAAACAATTGTCTAGCATTGCCGTGAGATACAAAAGAAGTAGAGTACTGTTTAGCAATTTTGGGGGATTTCATTTACTGCTACTCACAAATAAAGCATGCATATGTAACAACACAAATGATCATTTTGTCACTTTATGTTCACCTAAATGAATTTTAGAAAATTTTTTCTTAAATAGATTCATCTGAAGAACTTCATTCAGCAATTAAAAAAAACATTTTTTGTATGCATTTCCAGGAAAAAAATCGACAGGTGAAGGATTAATTCATGTCAGTAATTGCGAAATCAGCCCCCTTTCATCTGATGTTGGTGGTAAAAGTAGTTGGTATTTCCTGTGAACTTGCACACGCAATATAAAGCTACCAGTACTAATTTTATTGGCAAGCCTAAGGAAAAACACAAACGAACCATGCATATGAAGTCCGCCTGAGGGGCCATGCTGGTCACAGTGTCTGGCAGGAGGTGGGGCATCGATGGGGATGACGAGTGCGTGCCTGGTGGCACGTGATGACTCATCTGGGGCGACATGCCTCCGTAGGCGCCACCGTTGCGCCGCTGCTCCGCAAGCAGCTCCATGTCTGGCTCCTGCGACTGCAAACGGCACAGGCAAATGCTTCTTAATGTAACAATTTACATAGGCACAAAAATGGCAGCATTCAAGGATACAGTTGCTGGCAACTGAAACCATTCACCTGACAACACAACCACACCTACAGTGAATGATCGAGTATTCACCAAGACACTCTGCCAATTGCTCTCAAAATCTTTCAGGCGAGTCGGTTGAATATCACTGTTCGAACAAGGGTCCATCAAAAAATTAAAGATGGCAAAGTTCCTACTGATCTTCCGTACCTTTTCATCTTGTGCACAAATTATGGCCAGATTATCAGAAAATAAATATACCGTAATAGGGAAGATATAAAAACTAATAAGCTAATTCCTGAACTTTTCCAGTTTATCTCGTATTTGTGGTTTTAGTTAATGCTCCTGCTTGCTCAGTTCGTGGCGGCTTCAGCACTGTAATTAAGATCACGTGCCAATCCTTTTTTGGCCATCTCGTGTAAGCGTCCTTGAGGTTGACATTACGGACCATTTCCCAGTCTTTGTGTGCACTACATATCTGCCCACTATTCTTACTTCTACTCTTCCAATGAATCTGTTTTCGATGACAAATCATTCTTAGAAGCTCTATCTAATGCTCATTGGTTCGATGTGCTTGACACCAAATATCTGCAGGCAGCCTTCTCACAATTTCAAATAAATTTGCTACTGCATTTTGCACTCCTGGTCTTATGCTCTATTTCTCTTATCCTCATTTCTGCACAGCATACAAATTTCTCATCTGCCGCTCTCTGAAACAGCTCTTATAGATGTCAAACACGATTCATAAATTCAAAAAAGCATAGAAAAGAATTTAGTTTAATAATGGGTAGCCCACACTGATCCCTATACTTTCAGAGTGCTATCAATTATTCTAGTTCGATTTAGCTTGTTAGCTTTAAAATGCTATTATATAGTTCTTGCCATAGAAATGTAATTTCCAGTATAACACATGGTTTATACTGTTATTTTAAGAGTCATTTTTTAATTATTCTTTATACTTGTTTTCTTACACTACTCATTAATACTTCACATCACTCTCCCACAGCACTCCATGCACATTTATTATTTGCACATCTTATAACCTTTAATTATAGTATCCATGGCAACAACCAACTATTCTTTGCACTCGATGTAGTATATAAACTGTTGTAACATATTTTTTGATGTGCAGTTTTAAAAGAAAGTCCTACTTTATCCCAATGCTTTGGAACCTCCTTCTGCACATTAACATCCTAGCTGTAACCTTTATAGTCATCTTTTAATCATCATAATAAATACACAGGCCTCTATTATTTTCTATGTTGACAATTGTGTCCTGTTCCATTAAAACCTATTTAATTAGCCTACATCACAGCTATAATGAAAGCATGCCGTAAGTGTACGCATATAATGAGCAGTCACTGTGTAGCGAATGTTCCGAGCCGCTATGCAAGTATGAAGAATATATATACAATAGTCTTGGTCAAAACAAAACCAGTCTGTTCTCCAGTGAAAGATATGGCTGTTTTCATGAGACAGGAAGCAAACACATGCATTACAATTAACTGCAGCTGCAACTCAGAAGGAGCACGCGACAGCCCAAAACACACACAGCTGCTAGAAAATGTACCAGGGTCGCCATCTCACAGAATCCGTGTCGAAGGACCCGAGAGCAATGCCGGTCGTGCCATTAGAGTGTACTCGAGTTAACTATAGTCCATGGTTATGGCCATGCAGGTTTTTCATGACAATGGCAATTAAGGACCCCTGATGTTGCATTCCAAGAACTGTTTACTGCCCACCTTTGCCCCTTGAAAGCTGGGAACAAAAGGCAGGCTATTCTAAAAAGCCCGTCCTCACTGAATTTTTATTTTTGTATCATTTCTAACTATCAATATGGAGAGGGATGAGGGCACTATTATAAACCTTGCCCCCCCTCCCCCACTAGTGGAGAACCTAGCACATACCTATACTTGCAGTGATGTATTTGCAACATAGTTCTCCATGTAATGAATAACTTTTTGTTGTTCAATGTCCACTGATGTATCCCTACGCTCATATAATATCCTTATCAAGGAAGGGGTCCTTAAGAAAGTGAACTGTCAAGACTAGGACTAAGTGTGTTGTGCTCCTTTATTCTGCCTCTCCTAATTTGACACACCAGATAATTCAGTCCTTTCAGGTCTGAATTAACTGTGTTAACCATTCTTACAAGCTACAACCCCCTAAGATGCACCGCAACAACAACAACACCGAAAAAGGACATTAATTTCAAAGCAGCAGTGAATGAATAAATCCCCACCTGCGACAAAAGTGTGGCATGTTGTGGAGCCCTCTGGTGGGCGGCTAATGGTGCAGCAGCCATCATCTGGGATGGATGGATAAAGGCTGGGGCAGCAAACTGATGGTGATGGAAGCAGCAACCACAGGGTGCCACATGGTGGTGGCCTGAGGCAGCGAGCACAGGTGTAGCAAAGAAAGGTGTAAAAAGTGGCAGGTGGTAGTGAGGTGCTGCACCAGCACCCCCCGCAGCACCAGCTGCCCCCAGGGGTCCCCCACCGCTAGCCATGCTGCTGCTCGTGCTGCACACAGCAAAAGGCTGTGCAGGCACAGCTGGAGTCAGGGTAACAGGCACCTGTGCAGAGAACAGTGGGATGCTCAAAATATTGCCAGCGTCCGAAGACACCATCCCATAAGCCGGCTGGGTTACTTCAACCAACTGACCATCCTCATAAGCCATTTGACCAAATCAACATGGACATTTTCGGCCCTTTTCCTCTGTCAAAAGACAGCAACAAGTGGGTAATTGTAGCAACCAACTATCTGACACACTATGCAGAGACAGAGGCAACACCACCAGCCACGGCTTCTGAAGTAGCACAGACTCATGAGCTGCATCTTTCCCGAGTCATAGTGCTCCCTCTGCAGTGATAACAGACAGACAGACAGACAGACAGAGTTCACCGTTCACTGCGCAGCTTACGGACGAAGTTTTTCAGGTAAGCAACAGTAAGCATTGAAAGACGGCTGCTTGCCATCCGCAGGGTAACGGACTTTTCAAGCGACTAAACAAGACAGTCACAAAAATGATCTCCATGTACATTGATGTCCGACACAAAACATAAGATCGGATTTTACCTTACGTGACGTTCCTTATAACAGCGCCGTTCAAGAGACAACACAATTAACACCAGTTTGCCTTCTCTACGGCCGTGAAGTTCAGCCAATGTTGGACGCTATGCTTCCTTGCAACTGCACCGATCAGTTGAGGACCGATGCCAGAGAATTCGCAAAGTGCACCAAGGAAGCTTGCCAGCTCACGCGGCTACACATTGGTCTGCAGCAAGAGGTCAATGCACGAGAATACAACATTTGCAACAGAGACATCTTACAGCACATGAGACCAAGTTTGGGTTTGGACTCCATGTTTGTCACATACATCAGTCCATGTAATGTGATACGCCGTGTGATAGACCTCAACTAAGAAGTGGTTCCGGATACTGCATCATCAACACGAACACAACGAAGACAACCGAGCTCTTACATAGTTCATGTTGAGTGCATGAAGCCTTACTTTGTGTGTTCATAATTTCTATTACAATTCATTAATTTTTCTTGCTTCATATGAATTTTGCTACTGCCATATTTCCTCATCATTGGTTGACTGTGCACGTGTCACATTTCACCATTTACATCCTTTTGCATTGCCCAAACTGCTTTGTTTTTTTTTGCAACAATCTCGCAGCATTGAGATGATGTGCTCCCTCTTTTTTTAAGGACATATTGCCACCTGCCTGAAGTAGCGGGTTGTATGCAAAGGCACAGACAACTAAAGAAAGAAGTGCACGTGTCGCCCCGCTCTGGCAAGCAAGCCAGACCGACACACTTGGCAAGAGCCCTGTTGATCAGCATTCAATAAACCTTGCCTGAACAGGACCAACGCGACAATGTCACAGCGTTAAAAAGAATAATGATCAACGGACTGATTCGTTTTCTTAAAATGTTATATTCTACTAAATTGACCAAAGGTTGAAAAGAGAATCATAAAGGAAACGTGGAGAGCTAAAAATTAACTGCAATGCCCGCTTGAAGTACTTTGAAGACGTATGTACCGACGAAGAGCACAGGCTCAACCATACTATCAATATTAAACAAATGCATTCTCAGTGCCACTTTTGAAGTGGATCTGGAGCTTTATCTTGACCAAGAACCCAAAGACAAAAGACATTCCAGAACCTGAGAAAACTCTCAGCTCAATACGCAGAAGAATGCCACAACCACATTGTCTCTGGAACAGGATACAGAACAATAGTAGATTAAACTAAAATATGCTGAGTAGACGTAGTCGTATCATTTTTTTCTTTTATACTCAGCCAGATCCAGAAACCAAACTTAACCTACATTTGGTGGCAACAAGAAGTAGATTTTGGTTTATTTCATTAAAACAACACTCCTGATCAATGCCCAATGGTACAAAAGTGCTCGAAACAGCGCTGGCTTAAGGTCACTGGCCAACCTGGCCGACGTTGAGCATAGGTCGGCTGCCAAAGCCTACCTCCGTATGGGGAATGACACTGGCCTCACGTAGGCAGGTATGACCACCGACGTATGGCCGACCACCTTTGCTTACCTGGCCGAGTGTCAGCCTCTGTAAGGCCACGTTCGGCCGGGTGAAGATTAGTATACGGCCAACTGGCGGCCACCAGAGCGTAGCCCGGCGGGGTGGGGGGTTCTAATCCCCTCTCAAACGCTTTTATAATTTGCATGTGTAGTGTATCGTACACATATGCAGGCAAACCTACAAACACACACACGAAAATGTATAAAGTATGGTTGCACCTCCCCCCACAAATAAAATTACAGATCACGCCAGCAGCAGCGACTGTAGTTCATACATACTATGAACTATAGGAGCATCAATGAAGCTCACGTCACAGATACAAGGACCTAAATCTTTTTTTATATACTAAAAATTTTTAGACAAATTCTTTGGGCGAACGCTGATGACAACTCGTGGATGCTCTATCAACGACGCCTGCGCGATTGGCTGCTTTCTTTATCCTGGGCTTGACCAGCCATTTTTTGACAAAATTGTGGACGTCCTGCATTGATGCACAAACATTATCATGAACAGCCTGCAAATACAACAAAATCAATAAATACAAGAAAAGTCAAGATGAGATCAGCCAACAAGGCTTTAAAGCACCACTCCGAGATGTCTTCGACAAGTTGTCATGCTTCCAACCTAATAATTAACTATGGTGGGAGGTGAATAAAGGTGCAAGAGACTCGTTTCTTTATTGTAAAAAAACCAACTGAAAATTCAGCCAAGCTAAACATAGGTGAAACAGTTTTTTTTAAACACTAGTGTAGACATTATGACCTAACCTAAAGTGGTCGAAAAATGGGGCTTTCCATCAGTGGGATTACAACCCACTGACCTTGGAAATACATGTCTGATACTCTACAAACTATAAGCAATGGAACTCTCAATTCAGTGAGAGTAGATGCTGCAATATTTTCAGCTAAAAATGATGGGATCAGTTTTATAGTGTGCAAAAAGGTAAAATAATCACTCATTGAAAGGTTGTGCCCAAATTTAGCTATGCGTGCAGTGTTACAACCGTAGAAGTTTCACAAACCATGGCAAGCTAATGCTATAGCTCGAATAGTGGGGCAATTTACTCAGATACTGCGACACAAATACTGCGCTTCTTTTTAAAACACCCCATCAGGTTGGTGTCAGGATTTCAGTGATCAAACTTTGGTTCTGTATTGAGTCAGAGAATTATACAACCAAGCTTGCATCTCTCATTAGCAGCAAAAGAAACAAAAACATGGCCGGGATATTGTACCCTTTCCTGTTAAATATCTTTTGCTACATGTGCCATTTTAAGCCTCACACAATCGCTGCATGGGAGCGCATTAAAGGCAGGTGGGAATGCCTCCGCCGTGCTTTTTTGGCAGTCACGGATGGTTAGCACCCTAAATAGGACACAAAATTCTGCTTTCTGTGTCGTCTTAACATTCCTTTTACCAAAAATAAGGGAATATATACTCACCGAGCTTGAAACCACTGCTGTCACCTGTCAAACCAGCCGCCCAAGTGGTTGCAGCCGCCACTACTATTCCGCAGATGCGCATCTTCATCTAGACCACAGTCTATCCACAGTGCATTTTAAAAAAGGCGGAAAAAATTCAATTTATGGTTGTGGAACAATTACCGTATTTACTCGCATAATCCTCGCACTTTTTTTCCCAAAAAACCCATGGAAAGTTGGGGGTGCGATAATTACGTGGGGAAAATTTCCCGCAGAAAGGTACAGTGCAAGAAAAAAAATAGAAAACGGCCAGGAATTGCAGTTTTTTCACAAGCAACTAAAAGCTTCAAAAAGTGCTGATACAAGGCTTACCTTTACAATGAAACTACATGTTCAACCCAAATCAAGGTTTATTTGCACAGACTAAAGTCACTAGCTAATAAGTCTCTTCGGCGAACTACTCAGAGCCCGAGTCAAGACTGCCATCTTCGTCGCTCATAGCAGCGTCATCGGACTTATCGCCAGCTTCAGCGTGGTCTCCCTCGTCGTTTTCGTGGACCACGTCGTCTTCCGTCCCGTCCAAGGCGTTGGAGATCCCAGTCTTTTTGAAGCTGCGGACGATAATTTCTGGCGAAATCATGGACCATGCCTCAATTACCTAAGAACAAAGGATCTCTACCGACGGCTTCTTTGTCTTGCCCCTGGGAGTCATTGCGTGGTCGCCTTCGGCCATCTATTCCGAATACAGCCTCCGAACATTATCCTTGAACGGCTTGGAGATCCCAGTCTTTTTGAAGCTGCGGACGATAATATCTGGCGAAATCATGGACCATGCCTCAATTACCTAAGAACAAAGGATCTCTACCGACGGCTTCTTTGTCTTGCCCCTGGGAGTCATTGCGTGGTCGCCTTCGGCCATCTATTCCGAATACAGCCTCCGAACATTATCCTTGAACGGCTTGTTCAAGGATACGTCAAGAGGCTGCAACTTCGAAGTCAGACCGCCTGGAATGACAGCGAGGTCAGTCCGCAGCTCTTTCAGCTTCGCCCGAACGGAGTCGACCAGGTGACCGCGGAAGCTGTCGACAACCAGCAGCGACGGGTAAAGAAGTGCTCCAGCGCGTCGTCCCCAAACAGTTTTTACCCAGTCGACCATAAGGTCGGCGGTCATCCATCCTTTCTCCTGTACACGCACGTGTATTCCAGGGGGAAACTTGGCCTTCGGGAGGGTCTTCCGCTAAAAATAATAAATGGGGGCATCTTCTGCCCGTCCCCTGTTACGGTGAGCATGATGGTGCACCTCTGCTTCTCGGCGCCCGTCGTTCTAATACGCACACTCTGCACACCCTTCTCCTCCACCGTTGTGCTGGGAAGCATGTCGAAGTTAAGCGGACTTTGATCCGCGTTTCCAATTTGTGAGAGCAGAAAGTTCTTTTGCTCCCGAATCCTCATCACAAATCGATGAAACTCGATGACCTTATCATCGTATGCCGAAGGTAGCCGTTGACCCAGAGTCGTCCGTTTCCTGAGCGAGAGTCCACTTCGGCGCATGAACCGTGTGGCCCACCCGTTGCTCGCGCGGAAATCTCTCGCCGGGATGCCTTCCTTCCGGGCAATTATGCGCGCCTGATTTCTCAGAGAAGAGGAGGGTGTGTGGGGTGTTTTCCTGGCCGATGTGTTTTCTCGGCCCCTTTGTTAAGCTGGTCCCAGCGTAGCAGGAGAGTCTTCGTAGAATTTACCCGGTTGCAATGGGCACGTGGGTTTCATCAGCATGCATGATGCATAAGAGATGGCGCTAGGCTAATGGGTGCTATTTTCATCATTGGCTCAAAGCAGCAGACGACATCTGCTGCTGCGATTTTTGGGGTGCGATAACTACACGAGGAAAAAAAAATCGAATTTTTGTTGGCCGATGTTGGGGGTGCGAGGATTACGCGAGTGCGAGGATTATGCGAGTAAATACGGTATACTATCTACTTTTGGTACACTTCATTCCAGACTCACCATCATGGCGTCAAGCTACCGAAGCTGCGTCTGGAACCGTTCAATAGTGAGCTATCCGCATGGCAGGCCTTCTGGGAATGCTACCGTAAAGCAGTGCATGAGAACGAAGGGCTCTCGAAGATCGAGAAGTTTCAATACCTAAGGTCACTGATCATGGGACAAGCTACGACAGCAATAAGAGGAATGCAGGTGACAGACGCTTGCTACAAGGATGCCATCGAAATATTGCAGAGAAGATTTGGAGACAAAGAATGAATTCAACAAGAACTTATGGCAAAATTAAGAGTTCTTCCCAGCGTAGCTTCAAGGGAGGACGCACGCAAGCTGCGGCACTTGTACGATCACGAACAGGCACACATTTGTAGTGAGGGGATTAGGCATAAACTTGTCTTATTCGGCAATGTTAAGTGTCGTCGCCCCTCTCGGAGCTTCCTAAAGAAATGGTTGTGGATTTCCACAAAGAATTATGCAGAGCCCGCAGCACAACGTCATCGAGTCAATCTCCAGAAGATACAGATGCAACATAGACATCAGGGGTAGAGAGCAGACTAACAGACACTCTATATAATTTCTTCTTGTCGAGACAGAAAGCAGAGAACGACGCGCAGGAAGCGGCCATGCCACGAAGGAGAGCAAAGCCGAAGAGAGCGGAGGAAAAAGTAAACAAAACCGCACGCCAAGCATTGCGGTGCTTAGCATGCAGCCGATGCAGGGGAGGAGGTCATTCTTTTGAGAGTCGACGAAACACGAGACACAGTCCTGTATGGCACGGGCCAAGCGTTGCTTTTGCTGTACGTTGTGGGGGGACCAGTCAAAACAATGCAAAAGGAAAGTAAAGTGCTCCCAATGTGACAAACACCATGTATCTTCAATGCAACAAACCCCGACTGGCAGAAAGCAAAGAATGATCGTCCACAAGAAGTCGTGAAAAAAGTTACCGCTACTAATGTACACGCGGCCGCTGAAAAATAAGCAAACAAAGAAGCCACTCTGCAAATTTTTCGCACTTGGGCCGTGGGCGGTAACCAATGTGGATATATTCGTGGTGTTTTGGATGGCAGCAGTCAGAAGACATTCATTAGAGCAGACGTCTTTAAAACGCTTAACCTGTGTGTTTTGAGCATAAGGACTTCCACCTAAACACCTTCAGAACGACGGCTGTGTAAACGAAAATAGTCTGAATCGTTGAACTTCCCTTGCGGAGTCTATACAGCGACAGTGAAACAACCGTTGAGGGCAAAGAGGTTCCTTTCATTTGCAAAGACATGGCATCTGTTCCAGTTGACCTTGCCTTCGTCATTCTCCTTTTCAGGACATTCTCCTTTTGCAGGAAACTTGTGCGAATGTCGAATAAAAAAAATATTCCGCATATCTGAGGCACAATATCAACACGTCAATATTCTGTGGTGCGTTTTCTTTACACTAGAGAAGGCATACAATATTCTAAGGACCGTAGCGTTTATCACGCAGCGTGGACAATGCAGCGCTACGAACGAATAGACAAGTTTCCTAGGCCTTGCTTAAATGACACGGTGGTGGCACCTATACCCGTCGCCTTGCACTCTACACCTTATCGCCTCCGAGACGGGCACGCACGCCGCGCGCTTGCTATATCAGAGGCCATTCTTTCGTTTCCCAAGATAACTGCCAGATAGCGCTCATGTCTCACGCAGCGCATATATGGCCCTGATGCATCGTAGGGAGCCTCGATGCGCTCGTTCGCCTCCACTGCGCGCATAGAGGCCCTCTAACCCACGTATTCACAAACGCTCCTCGACTCGACTTTCACCCTTCACTTGACAGAGTTGAGCGCTGCGCCACAGCTCGGCTCAAAATGACGCTGCGCTACTCGAGAATCGCAGCAGATTATTGCTGATATGCAGTGACTTCTCGTGCCTAGAGATGGCGCTCTCATCGGCTTTCTCAAGTGAAGGTGAAGCGTTGAGTGAAGGGACGTTCACGGGGGTAAGAATACCATGTCACAGATTTTCTCGTGCAGAACATCAAATAAATGCTTTGTTCACTCTATCCAGACGCATCACTATCGTCTCTCGACGACATTTGCAGTGAAACATGCAGATACGGGGGCTTTCTCTCTCTTTCTCACTCTCTCTCTCTTTCTCTCTCTGCTACGCGCGCGTGTTAGATGAGATTAGGTCTTTCAGCTCCTGCTGCAATAACGCGTATATTTTTTTTTTTCATTCACCCCTCACGACGACCACATACTATGACGATAGTTATAGCGCGAGAACAAAACGACGACACAGGGACAAGAAGGACACGAAAGACACGTAGCGCTCGTGTCTTTCGTGTCCTTGTCTCTGTGTCGTCGTTCTGTTCTCGCGCTATAACTATCGTCATGCCATACCAACTAGCCCAAGCTGCCACACTTCTGACCACATACTAGTCACAGCGAGCGTCGCTCGGTTTCGCGAAGCACTAAAAGGAATAGCAACGTGAGGCTTAAGTGGCTGCAGCCACTTCCGCCACATGTGCTATACTCGCTGCTACAGAGTTCTCTTGTTCTCGCTTGTTGGAAATGTGAACGTCAGCCAGAACCACAAACATATCAGATTTGGGCTCCTCTATAGTTTTTGCAGACAAAATAAAATGAGGGAAAAAAATTTACGGAACAAAGAGAGGAGAGAAGAAAAAAATGCGTCAGCACACATGCAGAAAAAAAAAAGATCTTGGTAAACTTCGACACCATGATGATGCAGCTTCGGCAGATGCTTAGCGTATATGCCGTAAAATGCACTGATCTGCTGCTTAATTAACCAAAACCACGAGGTATTTTGCAACACATATACATACACATTGGTGGGGGTCGTGGAATGGCAGAGAGTTTATACTAAAAGGCATTAGGTTCAGTACACTTTGAAACGGCCACACCGTTCAATTTAATTTGGAAAGAGAGGGGCGGGGGACGCAACGCTCGTACGTCGGTAATCGTATAAATGACGTCACAATTAGAACACACGGTCTTCCGGTTATCTCCATAAGCCCGTACGAACCACGGGTGTACAAAGAGAGACAATGAGCCAGCGAGTCTTTCCCGAAGAAGAACAGGCGTCTTGCGGAAACACCGAACTCAATGGAGCTTCTCTCGTCGCACCGCACTCGGATACCGGCAAAGCACATGCTTCTTCAATTTACACCGAACACGATCTAACATAACGATCCATCGTATTGCATTCTTGTTGCAAATACTCTTTATACAACTGCGTCGACACTCGGCGCCAATTTGACACCGCACCACTGCACTCTTACAGCTATCATGCGTGCGAGAACAATGTCAACCAAAAATACCAACGGCCAGGCGTATATTGGCCACTAGCTATCACTGCACACATTCCGACAGTGCAGAATCAAAACGTCACAGGGTCCCCAACCACCATTACCACGCGCATGCTTCGGTGTGTACATGTGTTTATAGTTCATTCTACTATCGGCATGTCCCCGCTCCAGGAATAGCAAGGCAGACACGCTTTTCAGGCCGATCACCTCTAGACAAACGTGTGCCGAATGCACACAGCCGGGGGTTGTACAACAATAAAAAAAATTGACGCAAGCTATTTACAAAATATCGATCACCCCTATAAATGCCATGAGTCACATGGTGC